GAGGAGGAGAGAGAGCAGAGGAGAAGAGAAGAGAGAGGGAACAAAAGAAAAGCATACCTGTATATCTCTTTCCCACCTTCTTGACATCTTTAAGAAAATAACTACGGACACACCTGGTGACTGTCCTCCACCCTCAAGTACCTTCTGCTGCTTATGGAGGCAGTGCTTGAGGACACACACATCTGGGTAGGGAGTTGGGACTTGAGTTCTGATTCTGGCTCTGTCATTGACAAATAATGCAACAATGTTGTGACACTACTGTCCTGGAGCAAATGGCCTGCACTCTGTCTCATGGTCCCTCCTTTTCTAGGCTGGAGCCTTCCCGTGTTGGGCCAGCAGTACCTGGATATCCTGACCACATGGTACTGCAGCCTGCGGGACTGCTGCGACAGTGGAGACTGCAGGATCTCCAACAACTTCACAGGTTGGACTCCCAAACCCTCACAGGGTTAGGGATCTGTGGGGAGGAGAGGCAGTTGAGGAAAATGGCTAGAGTGCAAGGGACCTTTCATCATCCTGTCCAACCTCCACAAAGCAGGAACTGTCCCCAAAAGACTGAACTTGGATCTGCAGTTATTTGAAGATCTTTGGGCAAGATAAGACCCTCTAACAGAGGGGACAATATGACACCAACATTAATGGTGCATTCTTTTATCTTGGAACAGAAGCCAGAGCTCCCCCATGCTGGTGTTTGAAGAGCACCAGAATACCTGAACTCAGAATCCCCCGTTAGCCTCTACTTGAATGGCTTTTCCAGACTGAGCTTGTTTCGTGGATCTTGGGGATCCATGCGAAAGCCATGAACATGTGAAACCCAGTGAAGACAGCTAGGAGGAAGGGATACTGACAGATACAGCACAGGCCCCTAGTTACCACCGTGTATCTGTCCCTGGTGTACTCTAGGTTTCCTTTGCTCTTTGCCATCTACCCTCTCACCATGTCCTCCTGCCGTTCCTGGGAGCGTGTTCAAGGAGGAAAGAATAGGTGTGATCTGTTGAGCCCCTGCCATATACCAGGCACTGTGCTGAGTTTTGTGGGGCTTAACTCCTAATCCAACATCTGAGACCCTTTAGGAGAGTCATGTCCAGAGCACCTTGTCTCTTTGTAAACACAGAAACAGTTAACCTCTCAGAGGGTGCCTGGAAGCATCCAGTGAGAGAGCTCATCATACTCTATAAGTTGTAGTTAAAAGCATCCCTTTCTAAGCTTGAGCCAACAAATGTCTGGGTGATACAACACGGTCTTCCTGCTTTATCTGGGGTCAGTGGGGATGCCTCAGTGAGGCAGTGCCCTTATAGTAGTGATTTCCTTTTCTTTTCTGTTCTGTTCTTTTTGAGACAGAGTCTTACTCTATTGCCCTGGGTTGAGTGCCACCCTGTTTTGAGTGCTGTTATGTCATAGCTTGCAGCACCCTCAAACTCCTGGGCACAAGTGATCCTCAGAGCAGTGATTTTCAACGAGTGTGCAATGGGAGGATCTTAGATGGGCTTTGAAAAAAAAAAATTCCCCCCCCCCAACAGAGTCTTACTTTCTCACCCTTGGTAGAGTGCTGTGGCGTCACAGCTCACAGCAACCTCAAACTCCTGGGCTTAAGCAATTCTCTTCCCTCAGCCTCCCAAGCGGCTGAGCAGTTGCGCCCACCACAACACCTGCTATTTTTATTTTATTATTATTTTTTAAGATTGCAAGGAAGCTTTTTTTTTTTTGGCTAGGGCTGGGTTTGAACCCACCACTTCCAGCATATGCGGCTGGCGCCCTACTCCTTTGAGCCACAGGCATCACCCGCCTGACTATTTTTAGAGATGAGGTCTCACTCTGGCTCAAGCTGGTCTTGAACCTGTGAGCTTAGGCAATCCACCCATCTCAGCCTCCCAAGTGCTGGGATTACAGGTGTGAGCCAACTCGCCCAGGCTGCTGTGAAAATTTTTAAAGATCATTAATTATTTTTGAAAGAAGGTCAAAACAAAGTATATTCTCTTTTTTACTTTTTTTTTTTAATCAATATAATTTAAATGTGCCATGGAAGTTTAACTATAGGTTCAATGTGCTGTGAAATAAAAAAAGTTGAAAAACACTGCCGTCAAGAAATAAGAGATAGGTTCTGAGTAGAAACTAATATATATTAACCATCATGGATTGGAAATCCCCACTACAGTTTTCCTGTGCATTCTCCCCATATGGCTGGGGGTCACCACAACGTGAGGAACTGTATTAAAGGGTCTCAGCATTAGGAAGGTTGAGAACCACTGCTCTAGAGTCCAGCTGCATGTGAATCTAACCAACCCTCCTTCCATGCATTTTCTTATTAGTTCAGGAGCCTTTATTTGCTTATTGCCCTTGATTTGCCTTTGCATTTTGCCTCTCAGTGGGGATCTTTAGCCCCAAGTACTGAGTACTGTTCTGAAAAAGGACCTGTACATCACCATCTCTGAATCCTACATAAGGCCCAGCAGAGGGTTTTAGGCACAATAGTTGCTCTCAACAAGTGTTTGCTAAATTGAGTTAGAATGGAAGAAATGGGCTGTAATCCTAGCACTTTGGGAGGCAGAGGCTGAAGGATCCCTAGAGCTCAGGAGTTTGAGACAAGCCTGAGCAAGAGGGAGACCCTGACTCTACTAAAAGTAGAAAAACTAGCCAGGTGTCATGGATGCCTGTAGTTCCAGCTACTGGGAGGCTAAGGCAGGAGGATTGCTTGAACCCAGGAGTTTAAGGGAGATGGCTGTGAGCTATGACCCCATGGCATTCTACCCAGGGCTACAGAGTGAGACTGTGTCTCCAAAAAAAAAAAAGCAAATGAGGATTCTCAACAAAGCATTAGAAAGTCTTAAAAGTAGGGATGGGCGCCACCCCACCTAGGGATTGGTGGGCAGGGTCCCTCTTCCAGGCAGGTCTTGCCCACTGGTCTGGGATATCTTCAGAAGGAATGATTCTAATTCTCCCTTAGTCCAATCTTACTTTTCCTTTCTTTTTTCATTTTTGAGACAGAGTCTCCCTATGTTGCCCTTGGTAGAGTGCTGTGACGTCACAGCTCACAGCAACATCAAACTCTTGGGCTCCAGTGATAAATCTTTTTCTAACTCTTCAGAAAATAGCCCTTGAATCCCTTCTGCTGCAAGGTCTGTTTTCTGGCTTCTTGTTCTAAGGCCAAACAGGATGAATTATTGATGCCACCTCTGAGATACTCAGTTTTATTTTATTTTATTTTATTTTTTAATTTTTCTATAGAAAACACGTTTATTGGAGATGTGCTATGATGGAATCATTTGCTAAGTCTGAGCTTCATTTTCCTCCTCTGTGAAGTAGGGGAAATAACAGGTAGTTGCTCTCTGTAGTTCTGTTGTCATGGTTGAAGGAGAGGTACTCGGTTTTAGTTTCTGGGCTGTTGCCAGGGAATGTGCCTGTGTGTCACAGTCTCACTGTGACTCCCTCTTTCCTGTCTTTAGGCTTAGAGTCAGACCTGAACGTGCGACTGCACGGCCAACATTTGGCCCGGGAGCTAGTCCTAAGAACAGTGAGGGGCTACTTAGCGATGCCCCGGCCAGAAAAGCCCCTGGCTCTCTTGTTCCACGGCTGGTCTGGCACAGGCAAGAACTTTGTGGCCCGGATGCTGGCAGAGAACCTGTATCGGGATGGGCTGAGAAGTGACTGTGTCAGGATGTTCATCGCCATGTTCCACTTTCCTCACCCCAAGTACGTGGACCTGTACAAGGTGAGGCTGGGCAGTGCTAGGAGCATTATCCACTCTGACTGGGTCAAGGCCTCTGTGCTGGGGGCTGGAGGGGTGCAGGCAGCTGCTGGGACAGAAACTGTTACAGAGATTCCCGCTCCACTCCTCACAGAGGAGGCTCTGAGCATCCAGAGGAAAGACTGATGTTAAACACCACCCCCAGCTGTCTCCTTAACAGCCGCACCAGAGCCCAGATGCTGAGCTCAAACAGCAGCTGCGTGTTGATTTTTGTTACAGAAGTAGTGAAGCATCACAGGAAATGTGGAACAGAGAAAAGCAACAGCTTTATCACCATCTCCCCACACAGACACAAGCTTGTTAGCTAATAACAGCATTTTTGATGTATTTCTTTCTTTTTTTTTTTTTTTTTGAGACGGAGCCTCAAGCTGTCCCCCTAGGTAGAGTGCCATGGCATCACGCT